CTGCATTGAAACCTTAACCCACCACCAATCAACCTGTTTCTTATGACAGTTTCCTGAGTTTTTCCCCCTCAGAGATAAAATCCCCATCAAGTCACAGCAACAAACACTCCTTTTTTTCAGTTCCCATCCAAACCAAAACTGACCTGTGTGCGTCCTTAGGTGGGCTTTGAGGTGGGAGGATTTGCCATAAACTTTTTCACAGCCAGAGTAGTGGCATTTGTGCTTTTTCTGAGGTGACTCCTGCTCAGTTCGACCTCTGGCTCTTCTGCCTCTTTGTCTGAGCGCAGGGTCGCAGCCGGCGGTAGGTGTGGCACAGTTTCCATCCTCTCGGAGGGTCTGCGCGCTCTCATCCTTTAGGATCACTTTGGCAGGCTGCTGCTCGTTGGGGGTCTGCTGGTTAAAATCCGCCAGAATCCGCGCCACCACGAACAGCGACGAGTTCTCCTTCACCTCCTTTATGTCCTCCGCGCTCCTGGAAGAGGAGGACGGGATCTCCGGCTTGAGCTCCCTGTTGCCTTTAGGAGCGTGCACCACTGCACGACTGGACATTGAGACAAGGCACTCCGCTGCAAAGTGATCCATTTTGTCCTTAAAGCAGCCCCCTCCGCTTCTTAATGGCATAAGACCGGTGTGTGTGTGTGTGAGAGAGAGGGGTGTGTGTGGACAAAAAGTACTTGTTGTACCGTAGTTCCCTTTGTGTGGTGGAGGAGAGGAAGAGGTCGTCCTCATCAGAGGCAGCTGACTTTATCTACCCGGCTTTCCAATATATCCTCAACATCCTGCAGAAACGGCTCAGACGCAAATAATAATAATAATAAAAATAAAAATAATAATAATAACGCAGAGAAGAGAACAGAAAGCAGGAGTCTTTGTTTTAGTGCAGCGACGCCGGCAGCAGGAACTCCTCCAACTTGGATGCGTTCAGTCCCATTGCGGCTTCAGATCATCTCCCGCACGGTGCGCGCGTCTCCGGAGCGCCTCTTCCTGCTCAGTGTATCCATGCTGGGGGCGTGCCGGCCCGAGCCGCCGCGCGCTCATTGGGTACATCCTGTCCCCGAGTGCGCGGAGAGGCGCGAGTTGCTCGAAAGTTTCTGCTGCCTTGTCTCCATGCGCTCATGCAGTTGTTGGAGACCCTCTGATGCGCAGCACCCGAGACTTTCAGCAGCAGATTTTAATTCATCTGTTGCGATATGACCTCGTGCCTCTTCTGGATCGCCGCCATGCAGAGGTGAAAGGCGGGCAATAAGGTTTTGGCCCGTGTCTCTGTGTGTTTGAGTGTTTTTCTGTTAGCAAAATATCCCATGAACCACAGGATGGGTTTTTATTAAACTGCTGTAAAGTGATCGTTGGGTGTGTTTGGAGTCAATCTGATTAAAGATGCTCACCACAGCCAAGTGAATTTACAAAATACAACAATGGAAATAACTCAGACAAGCATTGACCTAATATGTTGTGTGATCATAACTGAGAGTCCTCCCCAACGCATACTCCAAGCACTACACACATTGCGCAATATGGCTGCCTAAAACATTGTTGACATCAACCCTATACTGACTGATTCCAAATTTTATCTTGAACTACTTGACAGATGTTAATGAAACTCTCAAAAAGTAATCAAGAAATGTGTATTTAGAACTGATTAACATTTGGAGACACTCACATTCAAGATGGCCATCACAGCTCATCAGAATGTGTCAACACATAAATGGGTATAACTCAGCCAGTTTTACAGATGTTGAGCTACAATCGTGATGGAAGATGAATGTTATCAACACGTGCCAAACACTAACAATCCAAACCAAGATGGTCACCACAGCTAATCAACTTTAGTCAATACAAAAATGACTATGACTGACAGTTTTGTAGGTATTGAGATAAACGTTGTTGTAGCTGAGAGTCATCTTCAACTATTCAGTACTAACAGATTTTACAGCATTTCACAATATTGCAAAAAATCATGTTTTAAAGAATGTTTGACCGAATCAGCTGTGATTTTGTCCCTTCAGAAGATGAAGATTAGGGTCAACTCTGTCATGAGAGGTGCATTCCTTCATATACTGTAACTGCATTTCTCATTATTATTGCATAATTATAAAAAAAGGGCTAACGTTAATGCCTCCACAGAGCAATGATTTTCAAAAAACATTTCAGGATCTTCTGAAGTTTAACTCAATTCAACTCAGTTTATTCATATGGTACCAATTAACAGTCCAAATCACAAATCTATATTTAAATCTAATTACAGCCAATTCATTCCTTTTATAATAAAAAACATTCATGTGCAGTATTTACCAGGTATGTCAAAGTTTATGCTCAATAATCCAGGTAAAAAAAATCCAACAAAGTTAAGTCAGGTTTTCTGGACGGTTTCATTTTTTGTTGAAACGTTTCCTCCTTCATCCAAAGGACTTCATCAGTGCGAGGAGCCACAACAAACTCAATCCCACAAGAAGCACACTCACATAATGGGCCAACCAGTTTGATGCTGGTGCTAAGGTGGTTTCTAGAGTCTGCCCTCTCCCATTAATCCAATAATTCTGATGCAGTCGGTGGAGAGGGTGGACTCCAGAAACCACCTTAGCACCAGCATCAAACTGGTTGGCCCACTATGTGAGTGTGCTTCTTGTGGGATTGAGTTGTGGCTCCTCGCACTGATGAAGTTCTTTGGATGAAGGACGAAATGTTTCAACAAAAAAAGGAACCGTCCAGAGGACCGGACTAAACTTTGTTGGATTACCAGGTATGGTTTCTATTGTAAAAATAGAAAGAAAGAAATTAGAAAGGTTAATGACAGTAATGATACAAACATGGAGAGTAGATCTGGTAAAAACTGCAGAATAATAAAAAAAAAGTGTTCAGTTTGTCCTCCATCAGTTTAATCCTATAGCAGCATGATAGAGATAGTTTAGGAAACCCAAACCAATCCTGACTATAGGATTTATCAAAAAGTAAAGTCTTAAGCCCAGTCTTAAAACTGGACAATGTGTCAGCCTCACAGACAGAAACTGGAAGTTGGATCCACAAGAGAGGAGCCTGATAACTGAAATTCTGCCTCCCATTTTACTTTTAGAAACTCTAGGGACCACAAGTAAACCTGCAGTCTGAGAGTGAAGTGCTCTGTTAGGAAAGTATGGAACAGGAACATTTTTATTAGACCACTGGAGGAAGGCACCAGCTTCCTGTGACCATGACCATGCACAAAACAAGCAGGTAAAGAAAACTCTGGAATATCTAATATTAGATGGAGCGTGGTTGTTGAGGGGTTTGCTTGTTAAAAGATTTTCAATCCTAGTCAGAAATTTGGTAAGAAGCAAAGCTCAGAAATATGGTTTCTAACTCTAACCAAAACTCTGGCAGCAACATTTTGGATCAACATAAAGTGTTGATTTTGGACACCCAGCTTAGAAAAGTAATAAATCATGAAGCAGTTGGGTTCTGAGAAAGAATGTACATTTAATATCTTACCTGTTGTAGATAGCTCTTTGAAATGACCCAGTATGGATAAATAAAGTTTAATTTGGACAAAATGTCCAAGTTAATGGTTCGCCTGTGTGAAGTTGAGACACTGTGAGGTCAAACTCCTACAAATTGCCTTAAAATATATATTTTTTAAACTCTGAATCCATATAAAAAGGGTGACTGAAACTCGTCTTTATTAGCATTTATCCTTTAATTAGTTAGCATGAAAGCATGTGTTTGCTGGTATTTACTCATTGTTAGCTCTGACAAAGGTTAGTTCTACTTTGCTCATGGTGTTTTATCCCTTTGTATATTTCTGTCTGAATTTTATTGCAACTTAAATTCCTCTTCATAATAGTTTATGTAGCTCTGCAGAACTAGACTTGGAAGTAAGACGGACTGACAGACAGGTTTGACTTCACATACCTTTCTGCAAAAGCTCAGTTTGTAACTCCTGTAACCATCCATCTGTAAAATGTGACTGAAGTGATTTGTAACTTTGCAAACACTGCAGGCAAATAGAAAATTACACCAGGTTGGTTTAAAAGACATGAAGATCACTGGTCCACTCTTTGTTAGTAGTTAATTCAATTTACAGGTTTTAACTCTGCTGAATGTGGCTGCTGGCTCCTCTCAACAACATGTTGTCTTCATCATTTCCTCACCCTTTCTTTCAGTAACACTTGCAGTACAAATAAAATCAAAGAAAAATCCCATGAATTCCTCCATTCGGAGCCCCCAAACCTTTTTTTTTCTGTAATAAAAAGTTAAGTATCAGAAAAATGTCAATCTGGAGAGTCTGGTTCCTGGATAAGATTATTGGTTTTCACTAAGTTTTAGATTTAGGGTGACGTCATGTGCGCCACAGAATGGTAGCGCTGTCGGGAGCTCTGCTTTGATCTTTACTTGTTCTTGTTGTTTTTGTTTTAACTTTATTTGCACCTACACTATACACCCACACTATGGGTATGACCGCAACACACTTTTGGAGGTTTGTGTGTCGCTGCCTTGCCATTGTGATTCAGTTTCTGGCCCCCTTCCATCCTCGGACTCAGGCTCTGACCTGTCATGGCAGCCATCTCCATGATCCTCCACCTGCCTGCATGGACCGAACTTTACAGAACAGCTCGCTTCCGCAGGGAAACCTTGGATGTTCTGTGTCTGCCAGACCCAGTTCTGGAGGGCAGTCAGGGAGGGCAGTTGCCAAGGTAGATATTATCATCATGCTGCTAACAAGACCACGCCGCTAACAGAACCACACTGCTAACAGTACCATGGTGCCAACCGGACCATGTGGCTAATGCTCCTTTTCCATTAGTACCTTTAGTACCGGTACAGCACGGTGCTCGACTCAGTACAGTACATATGTTTCCATTATGCTTTCAGTACCGGTTCCAGTGGGCGGGGTTCAAATTGACGTCATGCGCCTCTCACCAGTTGGTGGAGGTGAGACGCTGAAACAGGTTTCAGTACAGGGTGAGAAATTATTTTGAAGTTTCTGGAAAATTAAAAAGAATACAGATTATTAAAATAATTGATGTAAACATATATACATACACTACATTGCTAACAGTATTTGCTCACCTGCCTTGACTCACATATGAGCTTAAGTGACATCCTATTCCTAATCCATAGGGTTCAGTATGACATTGGTCCACCCTTTGCAGCTAGAACAACTTCAACTCTTCTGGGAAGGCTGTCCACAGGTTTAGGAGTGTGTTTATGGGGATTTTTGATCATTCTTCCAGAAGCGCATTTGTGAGGTCACATACTGATATTGGACGAGAAGGCCTGGCTCTCAGTTTCTGCTCTAATTCATCCCAAAGGTGTTCTAGGTCAGGACTCTGTGCAGGCGTCAAGTTTATCCACACCAGACTCTGCCATCCATGTCTTTATGGACCTTACTTTGTGCACTGGTGCACAGTCATGTTGGAAGAGGAAGGGGCCAGCTCCAAACTGTTCCCACAAAGTTGGGAGCATGAAATTGTCCAAAATGTCTTGGTATGTTGAAGTAGTCAGAGTTCCTTTCACTGGAACTAAGGGGCCAAGCCCAGTTCTTGAAAAACAACCCCACACCATAATCCCCCCTCCACCAAACTTTACACTTGGCACAATGCAGTCAGACAAGTACCGTTCTCCTGGCAACCGCCAAACCCAGACTCGTCCATCAGATTGCCAGATGGAGAAGCACAATTCATCACTCCAGAGAACGCGCCTCCACTGCTCTAGAGTCCAGTGGCGGCGTGCTTTACACCACTGCATCCCACGCTTTGCATTGCACTTGGCTTTTGCCTTTTTAGTTAGTCCACTAAGCACGTAGACCCAGTTTACAGGTAAACAATCGCCTTGAAACATTACAGATCTTTCTATTTTGACTGCAAAATAGTTACATGTTCACATGGTAACACTGTGACCTGCTGTTTATACAAGACTACGAAAAACTTTCAATCCGCTGTAGTTTCTATGCCAGGTCACAAGCTGGCGCTGTGATTTTTATACTTTAACG